TTCGGGTAGTGGAAGACTTTTGAATGTATGTGGTAATCTTAAATGGGAACGAACTTATGGGTTTAATGATAAATACTTATGTCCCAGTAAAAGATCTACTGATCCTGATTGCCCAAATAGAGACTAACTTCTGCCCCTATTTGTCATGTGTAGGTTGGGCAACCTGGGAAAAACAGTGGATCAAGATATGATTATCCAAAGGTTGCCTACCACACCATACTGTAAAACTATGTGTGTAACCCCGTTCACATGACCATTTCCAATCTGCAGCACTTTATTGACAGGTTTGGAGGTCTATTTGGGTTCCAAATATATGGCACAGGAGTAGATCCAGGAACAATAATATATGTAGGTCTTGAAACTGAGACAGTGGCAACTCAAACTCATCAGGTTTCTCATTCCTTCTATGAGGAGATGAGTATTGAGGATAAAATTCCCCATAATGTTAACAACCTATTTATTGATTTGGTTGAGGGTATTGCAGGTAGTCTTAATGTAACTAATTGCTATGTGTGTGGAGGTACTAATATGGGAGACCAGTGGCCATGGGAGGCAAAGGAAATATGGTACCCTGGCTCTGAGACATATGAACAACAGATACCTTTCCAGTCTGATCATCAAGTAAGTACTAGAAGTAAATTGGAATGGCAGTTAAAAACCTCCATTATAGGTCATGTTTGTATAGCCAGGAAAGGGACAATGTATAACACGTCTGTAGGTGAGCTAACGTGTTTGGGACAAAAAGCCTATAATGTTAATACTAAAAATACTACTTGGTGGTCAGCTTCAAATGTCTCGGAACCTACTAATCCGTTTGCCAATTACACTCATTTAAAGGAGGTATGGTTTGACTTATCGGCTACATCTAGTTGGAAAGCCCCAGCAAATTTATACTGGATTTGTGGTAAGAAAACTTATTTGGAGTTACCACAAGATTGGGAAGGGGCATGTGTATTAGGTATGCCAAAGCCATCCTTCTTCTTGTTGCCAATTGAGACAGGAGAGACCTTGGGAGTTAAGGTTTACGATGTAAATCATAAAAGGGAGAGAGCATCCTTGAATATAGGTAGCTGGGAAGATAATGAGTGGCCCCCTCAACGTATTATTAATTATTAAGGACCTGCTACTTGGGCAGAAGATGGCACTTATGGATATAGAACTCCGATTATATATGCTCAACCGCATTATTAGACTACAGGCGGTAGTTGAGATTATCACTAATGAGACAGCACAAGCGCTTAATCTTCTAGCTAAGCAAAATACCAGGATACCGTCAGCCATATACCAGAATAGGCTAGCCCTTGATTACTTACTAGCAGTAGAAGGAGGTGTATGCGGAAAGTTTAATCTAAGTAACTGTTGTCTGCACATAGATGATGAAGGGCAGGCAGTGGCTGAACTTACAAGCCACATGGTTAAATTTGAGCATGTACCTACTCAGGTCTGGAATGGGTATAACCTAAGTAGTTGGTTTGGAAGTTGGTATGAGCAGCTTGGAGGAATTAAGACATTAGTAGGAGGAGTAGAATTTATTATTTTTTTTTTGTGCCTCCTCCTGCCCTGTCTAATTCCACTAGTGGTAAGGTCCCTACATAGTATTATAGAGAGTACTATAGAGAGAAAGACAGCTGCCCATGTAATGGCTGTCTGGAAGATATGATCCCCTAGCCCGAAGAGAATATATTCAGGATGAAGAATGTTGAAGGAGTTTTTAAGATGCTTACAAGGTCTACTCTGGTTCAATGGCTACTTGAGAGATGTAGGTAAAACTGTGATTGGTGATGCATCTGGAATAATGTTATATCAGAGGCATCAAAAGGGGGGAATGTGATGGGATTCTAGCATGGTCAAAATTTAGTAGGCCAAAATCTCCATGTGGCATATGTGTATGTTGTGTCAGTTGGTTAGCTACATGTAGCTAGGATACTGTCATCAGTGTACTGAGCATGTGCAGGAATGCAGGAACTGAAATTGTACTTATTTCCTTTGTCTTGGATGAGCCATGTGGTTTGACTAGATGTACAAGTCCATAGTCTGCTCATTGATTGGTCTGAGGAATATTGGAGAGGTTATACTGTATGGGAGGAGATATGCAGTTATCAAAAGTCCCAAGCCACAGGTATTTGCCCCTCAGATCATTTGGAACAGAAGTTCATCTGAGACCCGATCGGTAATGTGAATAAAGGCCTGTTACTTCCTGAATACCTGTGTCCATATCTCTGTGTTTGGCTTCTGCGTGCTTACACTGCAACATTTCGACTTATTTATGATTTATATTTATATTTGCAAAGACATGAAAGCCGGTGTAACGGACCGTTTTGCACACAAGGGGTAAAAACTGTTTAGGCGATCGGCCCCCTTTCCAGAGATACAGGCACAGCTACTGCAGAACACCAAACACACAAACCGCCAATAAGTGAATGCTCCAAACTCCCGAACGGCATCCAATATAGCACTCCATACACATGAACAGGAACCATACGAATTGCTGCTAGCAGACGAATAGGAAAAGCATCCAAGCGGCTTACACGCTCAGCAATCAGTCTCTATCAGCATTCAGTAAATCCCCCCCAAAGACGAGACAAGGCTCTGTGTTGAGGGTCAAGCAGTGGTCTGTTTAATGAGGGCTACCTGCCCAGTATTTGTGCAGGTCTCCCACCTGGTGGACACTCCCCTAGGGGACCAAATGGGAGACTGTGACAAGCGACAGACAAGCAGACAAATAGGACAGTCACAATATATTCCCACAATGCATCCTGGCTTCCTCCCCTCTGCCCTAGGAGATAATTGAGAAGTAATTCAATTCTCCTAGACAAAGGCAAATCGCCATTATCCACGTGGGGATACTAAAACAAGCATTACTGTTAAAATACACCATCTAAGACACATTACATTAAAACTATACATTTAACCTATCCCCAGATAGCTCAGGTCTGAGTGCACATTATTAAGCGAATGGCGCTCAGACCACACGAATACAGTTTAATCACCATGGAGCCAAAGTCTTTACACAGTCAGTTTCATGCGAATGGGCTCCATGGGATTCCTATCTGGGGTATAACATAAACAAGTAAAACTACTGAACACCGGGCCGTTCGTGCACTTCCACCGAACAAGAAGGGAGGTCGGCGGCTTCAGCGGTGTTCGCGCAAAACTGTGTCCGATTTTAGTTCCATGAATTAAGCGTCGAACACCGCTGTGCATTCGCATGTTTAAAATGGCCACGACCTCGTGTTCGGGATACAAATGGCGGCCACCCAGCATTCGTCAATTAAGCTGCGGTTAACCGCAGCTTCAGGGAGGTTAATTGCCGGCACACTCCAGCTCCCAGGTGGTCTATTCATTCGTGCGGTTGTTCGATAGATTGAATCTATCGAACACCCGGCAGAAAAGCACGAATAAAGCTTTTCTGCAGGCGAAACAAAGTCTTTTAACATGGGGGCCATAGTCCAAAGGCAGCAGGCGAGCAACCAGGCTTCTCCAATGCAATGTGGCGAGATTGCTCTCGTCACAACCATGTTATATATTGTTACGGTTGCCTCCAGGCTGGCTGGAAGTTGGACCGTAGAAAGGATGCACCTAGCGCTCACCAAAGGACCATCAGCACAGTAGACACCATAACTACTGCGTAGACACCATAAGCACTGCAGACTCCACAAACCGCCGCTGCTGGGCTAGGATCCCGCCAGCTGCTATCCACCCTGGACCTACGACCAGGCTCCAGGTTCCAGTAGGTGAACCTCTTCCTTCTGTAGAATGGGACTTAGTCTCTGCAGCTGCAAAATCATTGTGGGAGAAGGTACAGGTCAGAGGTGTTCGCAGAAATGTGCAGCCGATTTTAGTTCCATGAATTGTAGATTATGCTAGCTTTAGTGTACCTATAATCTTAATTTTATTAATGACAGGAGGCGATTATTTGCTTAAGTCTCTCTTTACTAGAACTCAACAGCAGCACAGAAAAACAACCAATCAGAAAAAGTTAGGTACTATAAAACTCCCCTCCCCATACAGCATTTCCTCTTTCAAGCTGCGACAAAAACAGAATAAAAGGCAGAAAAAATATAATGGGAAGAAACGAAGTCCTCGATACGATGAATACAACGATGTCCACCATCCGAGAAGCATTGCCACACCAGATAGCGTTGATGGACTGTAAACTGAAACGAAAGAAAAACAGAATCGAAAAGGTTGATTATCCAACGAAATGTACTCTGAATAAACATGTAGGTACCCAATGTAGCAACCAAAAGTACCTTAATATGTAGATATCCCAACCCTAATTATGAATAAACAGATATAAGGACAGGCGACAGGTAGCAGAGACAACAAGCGGAGTTGTATACGTACCTGATTCATTCAAACTATTAAAATTAAACAAGGGAGGGATAAGAATGGGTTTGAAATACTCGCCTCCTGTCATTAAAGGACCACTCTAGGCACCCAGACCACTTCAGCTTAATGAAGTGGTCTGGGTGCCAGGTCCAGCTAAGGTTAACCCATTTTTTCATAAACATAGCAGTTTCCCCCTAATCCTCTAGTGGCTGTCTCATTGACAGCCACTAGAGGCGCTTGCGTGCTTCTCACTGTGATTTTCACAGTGAGAGCACGCAAGCGTCCATAGGAAAGCATTATGAATGCTTTCCTATGTGACCGGCTGAATGCGCGCGCAGCTCTTGCCGCGCGTGCGCATTCAGCCCAGGAGGAGGAACTGAGGAGGATCAGAGGAGGAGAGCTCCCCACCCAGAGCTGGAAAAAGGTAAGTTCCCTTTTCCCCTTTCCAGAGCCGGGCGGGAGGGGATCCCTGAGGGTGGGGGTACCCTTAGGGCACTATAGTGCCAGGAAAACGAGTATGTTTTCCTGACACTATAGTGGTCCTTTAATAAAATTAAGATTATAGGTACACTAAAGCTAGCATAATCTACAATTTTATAACATGACAGGAGGCTTCGTATTTGCTGTTTTAACGCTCAGCCAACAAATCCAACGATGATTGTTTCGCTGGTACCTAATCTGGAAGTTACTAGAGCCATCCTAAACGGACCTTCCCTGCGTGAAGTGACAGAAGACGGATCAATGAAGATGCCAGCTGTCGAGGCACCTTAAATACGGGAAAACACTATCCGCTTGTAGATCCATTGTACCTGGGGTTGCGACCGGTTTCCTAGCAGCCAGTCCA